CGCTGTGCCGTCGTCCTCATCAGGACTGTTGGAGCACAGGTTTCTGGTGAGCTACGAGATGTTGATGGTCACGGGTTAAAGGTTAAGGGTCCATGGGACGCATGCAGAGCCCGGGGTTTCACCAGACCAAAGGACAAATCGCCAATGGGCTCAGGCGAAGACTGTGACGTCACAAATGCAGGTCAACCGACGTCAACACCAGGTGGATTGGCGCCAAAGCAGCCACGGCCATATCAGATGACGTCACAGATGCAGGTCAGCCGACGTCAGTACGAGCACGATCGTGGTCAAAGCAGCCATAGCCATATGAGATGACGTCATACATACAGGTCAACCGACGTCAACACCAGGTGGAGTGGGGTCAAAGCAGGCACGGTCAGATCAGATGACGTCACAAATGCAGGTCAGCCAACGTCAGTACCAGGTCGAGCGGGGTCAAAGGTCAGATCAGACGACGTCAAGAATGCAGGTCAGCCGACGTCATTACCAGGTCGAGCGGGGTCAAATTAGGCACGGTCAGATCAGACGACGTTGGGTTGTAGAGGAACAATGTTGATCTCTTTACGGCACTCAACACAGTTGTCACGAATAACAAACTGTCGCACTCTGACTTGATCCTGGGCGGCATATCACGGCAGTCGGGGAAAACGGATCTGGAAGGACACTTCCGTTTGCCTGTCTTTCAACGAGAAAATGACAAAAGAGGGACCTCTGTAACTCGGAGCCAGTCATTTTGTGTTCTCACCTAACCGATTTTCCTGACTTGTAACAATCTCCACGTAAACACAATAAATGGCCTCCGCTAACTCATAGAAACTTCTGGCACGTGAGTAGTCCCGACGTGGCCTACGACTGACCTTTGTATGACCTGCCACTCACCTCTTCGCGGCCTGCCACTGACCTCTGTGTGACCTACTACCGACCTATGCGTGGGCTACGAATAACCTCTGTGTGGCCTACGGCTGACCTCTGTGTGACCTGTGACTGACCATGGTGGACAATCTTGCGGCAGATGGTGCTGTTCAGACCGTCGAGGTGCGCGCCTGTGATTTTGTCTTCGCAGTCGACCGAGCCCACTTCCTTCCGCTTAAACGGATCTGCGCACCAGCGGTCGTACCAAGAGTTACACTCGAAACACCGGATCGCCAGGCCTGAGGACACAATACCGAGAGTTACACTCGAAACACCTGATCACCAGACCTAAAGCACCATACCGAAAGTTACACTCGAAACACCGGATCGCCAGACCTGAGGACACAATACCGAGAGTTACACTCGAAACACCGAATCACCAGACCTGAGGACACAATACCGAGAGTTACACTCGAAACACCGGATCGCCAGACCTGAGGACACAATACCGAGAGTTACACTCGAAGCACCTGATCACCAGACCTGAAGACACAATACCGAGAGTTACACTCGAAACACCTGATCACCAGACCTGAAGCACCATACCGAAAGTTACACTCGAAACACCGGATCGCCAGACCTGAGGACACAATACCGAGAGTTACACTCGAAACACCGGATCGCCAGACCTGAGGACACAATACCGAGAGTTACATTCGAAACACCGAATCACCAGACCTGAAGCACCATACCGAAAGTTACCCTCGAAACACCCGAATCGCCAGACCTGAGGACACAATACCGAGAGTTACACTCGAAACACCGGATCGCCAGACCTGAGGACACAATACCGAGGGTTACACTCGAAACACCGAATCACCAGACCTGAGACACAATACCGAGGGTTACACTCGAGACACCGGATCGCCAGACCTGAGGACACAGTACCGAGAGTTACACTCGAAACACACGGATCGCCAGACCTGAGGACACAGGGAAGCGTTAGCGCCGCTGTTTTCTGAACATGGAGAGCGCCGGCAACGCCAGGTGTGAGGATTACCAGGTGGGTTAGCGATGGATGTGAGAACCTGTACATCATCAGGAAGAACTGACATCGCCAGGCCTGGTCACCGCAGGCCTGTTGACAGTTCATAGCAAAACCCAGGGACACTTGCACATCCTGGTGTAAAACACGGTATCCAGCCGTTTGCATTTTGTTCGGCTTTTTAGTTATAAGCTATGGAAACTCGATCGACGGTGATCCTTTGGCTCTAAAAGTTGCAAAAGGAGTGTAAAAGCGGCAGTTGCGACCAACAGAACCGTTAGCAGTAATATTAGGCAGCACTCCCCGAGGTGCGTAACCGAAATTTGGCAAATGTCTTCCGCTCCCCCCCCCCCCCAAATACTTACCTGACACAACCAGTGATACATTTCTCATCGGTATCCATGGGCTTACCCGCTCCGTTAAGTCTCCTCATGTGCAGCGAATGTGACAAATTCAACCAGGCCAAGCCAGACTAGACCAAACCAGACCAGACCAGACCAGACCTGATCAGATCTGACCAGACCTGACCAGGAGCAGACCAGGGGCAATACGTCGAAGGCAACTGATGCAAACGGCCGCAATTAAAACGTCATTTTGTACGATCCCATTTTTAGCCAGCCTGTCTTTAGGGCAGATTTCACTGAATGTGTTGAATGGATGTCTTTGGAATTTGACATCCTGGTAATCATAGCATTTCCAGATCTCATTACCACGCTGGATTATTTGCAGCTTGACATAGTTTTTCGCGAAAGATTTTTAAGCGCTGCTTGTTTCCGTAGCACACAAGCACCTCTCTTCGGTCCAGTTCACGTTGCCGGAAGAGGAATGGCTGCAAAAATTAGCCACGTGAAAAAATAATTAAATCATGATCCAATAAATGAATGAAAAAGCAGCCGTGCCATGATTGAACCATTGAACCAGTGGATCACACGAACAATAACGGCTATGCGGTCTCTAGAAGACGACCGCTCACGTCTCTCTGGCGCCAATCAGAGATAGCCGGTGATGTGACATCTGACCCTCTCACTCACACCTGTCCGCCGTAGATCAGAGGTGGAACGGTGGTCTGATATCACAGTTAAACCGGTAATATGACATCGGAGGTAGACCGGTGATCTGATGTCAGAGGTAGAACCGGTGGTCTGATATCAGACATGGACCGGTACTTTGACATCACGGGTAGAGAAAGAATCTGACATCAGAGGTAGACCGATGATCTGATGTCAGAGTTAGACCGGTTATCTGACATAGGTAGACCGGTGATCTGACATCAGAAGTAGACCAGGATCTGACTTTAGGGTAGACCGTTGATCCGACATCAGATGTAGACCGGGGATTTAATATCAGAGGTAGACGGTGATCTGACGTCCGAGGTAGACGAGGGATCTGATATTAGAGGTAGACCGGTGATCTAACATTAGAGGTAGAACGGCGATCCGTCATCAGAGACAGACCGGGCATTTGAGATCTGAACCCCTCGGATTCCTTACCTCCGAGTCAACAGCAAAGTTCGACTTAAGACGAAGGCGAGGTTCTCTCCGATGGGACCACTCCACATTCGCCTCTGCCCCGCAGGGACGCGTGCCATTGCGCGCGCGGGTGGTCCCGCGCAGACTTCGCCAGCTGGCCAATCAGCTGTGGTGTGAAGCTATGATAGCTCGGGAAACTGTAGGATTTGGTGATGGTCTGCCTAGTATTAATCACAGAAGGGATTGGTGAGAGGATCTAGCCAGACCCCGACATGGAGCGGAAAAGGTCTGACTGCACGAGGATCGTGCAGGGCCTGTCAAGTGGGCTTGGGTAGGCGCCTCTGATCAAAAGGTCCGACTGCACGAGGAATGTGCAGAGTCGGTCGAGTAGACTAGGGACGGCACCCGCTGATCAAAAGGGAAGCATCGGCAGGGGATCGTTGCGCTGCTGCTTCACGTAGAAGCGAGCGTGCTGGGATCGAGGACAAGCTCATGTGACACTGGCATGTGCCAAGGCCAGAGGAATACGGCACGAGGGA